TTTATTCACTTAATATACTTTATGTTTCTAACCCTAACCCAATATAGAAATATCTGAAACTATCAGCGTCTCTAAAGTGAAGCCCCTTAGTTAGAAAGTTTAAACCAAACTTATTAGATCAAATGTTTGTAGTAAAAGTTTCCCCCCCGGTCAGACCTCCAGCTCCCTGCAGCCCATTAGTTTTTATCGAGTCCGTTTCCCCTCCGCCTCTGACAGTCTGCATCTGTTGACTCCTTCATCATTAACTCGTGAAAAGTATCTGCACAGAGATAAAAGTCTCCACTGCCCTGATTTCCCTTCGTTAAATAACAGCTAGTTATCAACACCAACAGTCGAGTCGAGTCCCGGAGCCGACTGTGTTTACGCTGTGAACAGGAGAAGGAGGATAAACAGTCTCCTCTCGAGTTGGATGCCATGTCTGGAGAAATCTGATTAATGGTCTCTTAACAAGCGACTCCTCCGAGGCTCTGCCGCCGCCTTCACCCGGGAATTCGAAGTAAATGAGGGAGTCAAGGGTACGAGCGACCTTTTCCAATATGCTTCTTCATAATGGGCCAAACTGACGCCTGAAGTTCGGCCCTGAAATCTCCAAATGAACAAACTTCTGTCACACAGTAAAGTTTCACTGATACTCAGAGGGTTGGGACTCGTCCAAGGACGAAGAGCTCAGTCAGGATATTAGTTTTTAAAACGCAGACAGAGCCAAACATCTGTTTACTCAAGGATACTGAAATATTCATCACACTTATTAATGGTTTTATTCTAATCAAGGTGGAAGAGTTTATATTTGAATCGATCAAGGCCTCAAAGCAGTTTGTCTTTTTCTCCTCTTTATTCCCTAACGTGGGTTTAAAAGAAGCTTTTCAGAAAACTGTGTCCAGACATTTTCCAGAGTTTGTGTTTCACGTCTGAAGAAGCAGCCGGAGATTGTCCGAGTCAGTTCACAACAACAGGGAAATGTCTGGAGCCTGTAGAGGAGGAGGAGGAGGAGGAGGCACAACTTGACTCACCAATTCTATCAGGGGGTTTGCAGGAAAAGTTCTGGAAAATGTGTGTCCTCATGTACGGCCACTCCAGAAAATATCTGGAGAATAAACAAACACTGAAGGAGTTTATCTGAAGAGTGAAGAAACTAAATCTTTTTACTGAACTTAAATCTGGTATCTTCAGGTTTTGCAGTTTTAAATCAAAGTAGACGTCGTTGTCGGCTCAGGTTGTTCCTACCTGCGACCATTAAAGAGAAATTCACTGAGGAATTGAAGAGGAGGAGAAAAATCCACCTGCTTCTGCCTGCCTAGCATTTATAAGTCTGCCAATATCGCCCTCTGGTGGGGAGAGGAGGAGGCTTAACGTCTACACTAAAACTTTCCAAATGAAACTGCACAAATGTCCAGAGTCTAAACTTTACAGCTCAAGTCTGGTGGAATTCATGAAAAGACCGAAACTTCTAATGACTTTCTACGAACTCGTTCTGTCTGTAAATCAGAGACCTGACCCTGTGCCCCACACGACAACATGTCCCTGAAACTGGTACAAATATATATATATATAAATAATATTCATGAGTCATTGAAGTTAAAAACTACAACTGAAAACAGTCAACAACAAATCCCCCAGAAATCAAACTGAACAAACTAAAGCAAAAACAGCTGTTTCAGGACATCAGTTCCCATTTTTAGAAACTGAATTTGTTATTTGTGAGAAGTTTTTCTGAGTTAATGAGACACAAACATGAGAGATGGACGGATAATTGTTTTTTGACAATAGCAAATATAAAAACATCAGATATTTATCCTTTAATTCAGACACACAGCCCTAAACTTAGAAGAATATATTATATATATATATGTTCATTAGTTATTTCCACTGGCACGTCATCCATCAAAAAATCTGAGAGTGAGACAAGTGCAGGTTTATCATTGAGAGACAGTTTATTTCAACTTGAATTCATTTACAGCAGTTCCACTGGAGAAGAGAAGGGTTCAGGTGATGACCTACAGCCGCGTTAAACCTATGGTCCTATCTACCGAATGAACAGGGAGGAGGATGCAGCTCCGTAGTGCAGAAGGCACAGAGTTGGCTTAATACTCGCCTAAGCGCTGCTGACATGACAGAGGAAGATGAGACGGCCGTGATCGAGCCTCCGCTTGGTTCTGCTCCGTTTCTGAACGCCGAAGACAAACATCTCCACCGTTTTCACTCCAGGTCGATTCAAAACACTGAGCACAGTCACGTGAGTTTCTTTAGCTCGGACGTGATAACACGAGGTTTAGGTTTGAGTCTGAAAAGCCGCCGCGTTTTACTAAATAGAAAAATAATGAAAAATCAAATGCATGTGACCGATGTTAAGGCATTTTTATAGAAGACGCAGCCCGAACCAAAGACAGAAAAATCACACGAAGACGCAAAACAATGCAGATCATCGACGTAGAAGCAACTCTGCAACTTTTTCACCTTGAGACAGAAGCTTCGAAATGAGCCCGACGTAGTTAATCCCCATGTGAGGCTGCAGAGGGCGCTGTCGCTCAGCTGCAAAGTCACACAGTGTCGCTTTAATTACGACGGCAATAAAACGACAAGCATCTTTCTGATCTCCAAGTTTCCTTCGTTCACATACAACCTGCCAGCGACCGTCCCGTCCAGTAAGAGCTGCCGCAGTCCGACCGTGAGTCACACGGGACGCAGCGACGACGAAAGCAACAGACGAATGCTCGAAATCAGACTCAGGAAGACTCGTCCCAGCATCCTTCAGTGAGGGGGGGGGAAAGAAAATGCATCACAACCCTCAGGACCAAAAGCTGACACCTCTCACTCGTCCACCGACGCACAAACACGAACACACGAGAATCAAACAGTAGAAGTGTTTGACACAATGCGTTTCATTTTCTTTAACAGATAAAAACCTTTCATGAAAACCACTTTTCAATTCAAGTAAACTCTTCAAACGGAAACAAAATGAAAACAGCCATAAACCACGACATGTTTCAAAATCACTTGGAATTCTTGCATCTCAGATTCTACGAAAAAAAAGTACATTCAACAGGTTTTTCAAATGTGGAACAGAATTATAACGAGGTAAGTTAAAAACTACAAAGAAAGAAAGAAAGTCATAAACTCATCAAAGGCGGATTTAGATTGTTGTTGGATTTTAAACTTCTCTCTGGGAGAACACAGATTTGTGGACGATGGATGTCGACTGGATTTGAACATTTTCAATAACCTTAATGAAATGTGGTTCAGGTGCAGTTTTGTTTTCCGCTAATTGAATTTTTTTTAATGTGAGTAATTAAATGATTGTCAAAGTCAAAATAAGGATTAAACGACCACTGGAAACCTTAACGCTGCAGTTTGACCTCAGCTGAGTCATGACAACACCAGATACTGCAACGGACTTCAACAGAATCTCGACCTAAAGCCGCCTTCATTCATCAAACACTCACTCGACGCTCACATTCACACACCAAGTGAGTTTTTGCACATTTTGTTGTCTCTGTTAATTCGTGTCTACAAAAATAATTTAAGTTATTGAATCATTAATACTCCAGGGAGGTGTTGTGTTTTTATGGTGGAAAGAAAAGGGCCAATAAATAATCCATTAAGTTTGTCCCCGAAGTTAAAAGAGGTGTGCGCTCTAACTAGTACTATTCTAGTTTCTATTTACTTTTAGTTGGAGTCCAACTTCGTAGTTTCACATCAGCTCACGTGTGATTTTATTTTTTAAAATAACACAAAATGTGCAAGAAATCTAAAAGGTGCAGAAACGATGCAAACACTTGAAAACGTGCAGCTGATATTGAATCACTTAAAATCAAAGCACAAGTAATTAAAAAAAAGCTTCTGATAATATAATAACTCCAGGGCAACTTGACATTTACATAAAAAAAAAAAAAAAAAAAAAAGGTCACAACTTTAGATTTCCGAACGACAGGCTCATCAAAGTGGAATAGAACAGAAGGAGAACGACGGCTGAGGAAGAAGAGTCTGGCACGTTCACGTTGGAGAGAAGGAGCCGTCTCTTTGCCATTTTTTTCTTAAGCAAGCAGGTCAATCGTATTGTACTGTAGGTATAAGGCAAGATCATGTGTTTACTCCATCCAGGTGCAACAGAGATTATAGACTGTACATGTGCTGCAGAGCAACGGGCAGCTGATGAAAGACGAGAGGCAGGTGAGCGATGAAGCCGCAGGGGGAAATTATCAAAAGGCAGAAAACTATATTTAAAGTGTGACGACGTGAACAAACGATCAACACAAACCACAGGTTCTGCAGATTATCGGACTGAGATATTAGAAATGATCCGAATATTTTACTGACACTGCAAATACACAAATTGTGACAAGCTGCTTTTGGGATCTCTGATCAGACCGTGGAGTTTCGGCGCAGAGCGACATGCTACATTCATTCTCCTCCCGTGGCGAAGCTGCGGTGCCGAGTGCAAACGGACGATTTTTCTCGATGAATGTTTCTCGAGCATCTCGTCGTCCGCAAGCAAATATCCCCGCCCAGGTTTTCAAACACGTTCAAGTCACTTAAACACATCGAGCTCACTTATCGTGGGAGGATCACCTCAAACACATCTGTAAACAAAGAGAGACGGTAAATAAAGATGGACGACTCTGGATGGAGAATAGGTCAAAACCCACGTCTCCTCCAAGTCAATTGTTTTTAATTAGTTATCGACTGAAACTCACAACCTCACCCGTGCAACATGGCAGCGTTAATATCTGGGATGTTTCAGCTTCATTTCTTTATTCGTCCATCTTTATTCACAGTCAATGAAAAGAACATTTAACGATGGAAGCCGTGTAACCCAACCCTCTTTTCTACAACTTGCCTAAAAATTAAAAAACAGACGGCCGCTGGAAAAAAAATGGCAATGAAGTTCTTGAATGTGGCCGTTTGTTTTGTTCATGTACTGCATGTTCTGACATGGCACAAGGGAACCCAGGCAAAGAATTAGAATCAGAGTGAAAAAGAAAAAGGTCTTGCACAGATTATCAGAGTTCCTACAAATATTTACACCACAGATACAGGCACTTGTATATCTTTGGTTGGAGAAACCCAACATTGCAAGAGTAATGCATTCACAGAGCTTTTCGAGTCCCGTATTGTATTTCCAGGGTTCACTAGGCAACTGGTATGTTTATTTTTATTTCCTCCGTGTCTTTTTGAGTTTGTCCGTTTTACAGTTAAGTTCTGACAAAGCTCTCTCACATCATTTTAACTGTCTGACAGCGCCACCTGCAACAGAGAGACATGACACGGGTTACTGCGAGCAATAAAAACACAGACGTTCTTTTTGTTCACAGTTATTTACAATTAGGTTTATGGTTAAAACGTAAAATATCAAACCTCAACTGTCTGTCTTACGGGTTGACATGTAATCGAGGACATCTTTGTATTTGTATCATCCTCTAAAAATCCCTATCAGACTGGATCGTGCTCAAAACCGTCCAGTTAGAGCGGACCCGTGTTCAAACCTGTGTTCAAACCTGTGTTCAAACCTGCTCATCTCTGAACTGGAGTGAACTGGCGCTCCGTGCTGAAAGGTGACACAAGCTGTCGTGTGTTTGTGCGACAACAAGAAACAAGAGGAGGAACTTTTTACACCTCGGAGTGAGACTTGACTTCGTACGTACCAGACACAGCCGGGGATCATCGGCAGCACATAACAATGTTCTCCCAGGTTTTTGTGTGGAGCTACAACATCTCATCTCCTGCCGACTTTACATTTTACCAGTTACAGCACAGTTTGTTTGAATATATCAACGTGTGCTCTTTGTTAAGCAACAAGGTGGAAATGTGCCACAATTTTAAAAGACAAGGAAAAATAAACAATATTTGTAGTGATTTAAATATTTTTGATGATTAACAGAGAATCAAAGTTGGATCACGTCTTTAACCAATCGCTGGTCGACTGACGCTCGGCTTGAACTACCTGTGCGAGTCATATAGCACTGCTGGTGTCTGTTGTACCTTCTCAGGGCAGAAGTCAGGGTTGGTTTGTCGTACTTTGCCAGGCCGCCCCTTGATGACTGCATAGCAGAACATAGTGATGACCATGACAAACAGGAAGTAGCTCGTGTGCATCAGGTGCAGGTTGATGAGAGAACGGTCATCCTGGTGAGACGTGGGAGAAACAGCATTAGAAACAAGACGGTTTAATGAGAATCACAGCTCAGTGCTCAGGTTTCATGGATGTTTGTGGCCTGAAGCTTAAAGCACACATCTTGACTGAAACATCCACGGTTCGATTCATGGACGGGAAACCTTCATGAAGCATCACACACCTTCTTCATATTGGTATTTGGTGAAATAATAATAATAATGATAATAATGTGAGGTGACATTCCCACTGTCAGCCCAGTTATAGCTTTAAATTCATGTGACAGTTAAAGGGTCAGTGTGTAGAAGTTAGTGACATCTAGTGGTAAAGTGTTAGATTGCAGCTGAATACCTCTGACATCACCCTCCTCTTCCAAACATGACAGAGAACCTGTGTGTTTGAGCTAAAGATGTTGAGTTTGTCCAGTGTGGGCTACTGTAAAAAAACATGGTGGCCTCTGTAGAGAGGACACGCTCATGAAGTGAATATAAAGTATTTAAATATAAAGGGCTCATTCTCGGGTAAAGAGAACAACAATTAGTACAATTTAGGTCAAACACACTAATGAAAACATCACTAGGATTAGTTATATATTATTATTATATTCACTATCTGCCAATAGATCCTTTCACCTGAATCTTACAAACTGAAACTGTTTTTTCCACTCATTAACATGAGCAGGAGTCTCAGATAACTTCATGTTCTTTATAACTCCACTGCATTCTATACAATGAAGAGTTCTACTGCTGATTGGTGCAAAGAAAGAAATATAAATGATCGTTTTGTTGAGGGAGACTGTAACACATACTATCAGATATCACAGATTCTTATCAAGATGTTCTCTATCAAAGAGAAAATGAACTGCACAGTCTGAACAGTAAAGAAAAACAACACTTCAACAAATGTTATTTAGGCTCCGTTTTCCAAAAAGGAAGAAAACAGAAGCGCCACGTGTCGAGTGTCTCTGTTATTTTGTTGAAAGAGCTGGAAGAGGTCGTCTCGAGCACCACTCCCAAACCCTGTGAGCGTTCAGGTGAGCTCAGGTAACAGCATATGTTTTCCTCAATTGTTCGCGGCAGCATTCAGAGCCCAGCTGAGGACCGTGAATGGGACCATTGTGATCCGGGACCAATCTACCGCCAGCAGTAAAGATAGAGCCGAGACTAAATGGCCCTTCAGGAGGGGCTTTGTGTTTGGTGACTCGCCAAGAGTGAGTGATTCTACACCTGCAGGGAAATCACGACTGAGAAACTGCAAAGACTCGACGGAGCCGTGTTGTGCCGCAATGACTTTAAAGAAAAAACATTCTAGCGAAAAATATATGTGAATTTAGATATAAAACACTTTATTAACGATTTAAAAAGCTGTTTGAGAATACTGAAAACTTCACAACTCTGACTTCATGTCTGTGAAATAACATTTAAATCTGTGAAAAATGATAGAAAACAGAAACTATGAGTCTGGAGGCTGAATTTCTTGCTTTTGGAATGAACGGTGGTGTTGACTCACATCTGGAACGATGACGGTGAGCTTTGGGTTGAGTGCGTGGTACACCTTGCCGATGGCTCCTTTATAACACCAGAAGGGGTTGTAGTCCTGACTGTACTTGGTGTCTGAGTCACGGACAGTGGTGAACACCTTGTACCAAGAGGTGGCGTTGGTGTACGTCTCCGGCACGCAGTGTGGCGGCTGCCTACAAACCAGAGCACAGACTGGACGGTTCAGTATAATGAGAGCAGAAGAGTTAGAGATGCTGTTTAAGGATTCATCGTCTTCTTGACACGTTTCTCTGATTATTTCTCTTGTTTTTAATGTTGAAAATATAACACGGATGTTTTATGAGCAGCCAAAGATGAAAGACATCAAATAATAACAGAGCTCGGCTGTGTGTACAAATAAAACTATAAATACCTCGCCGCAGTTTTATGTTTCTGCCAATCGGAGCAGTCTCGGTCTACATGCATTTATTTTCCAGATTCATATGATCCTTCATGGTGTTCTTAAGACATTGCGTTTAAAAGAATGGGCCCGATGGACAACCCGTAAACATAATGCCACCGGCCACCGGACCGTCGCTGGTGCGGAGTCATACCAACACTCAATCTACTGGGACAGGATATCACCAACTACGCTAATTAATCAGATTAAACATCTTTAGTAACATTGAACACTGAGAAAAGACATGGAGATAAAGACACTGTGGTCCTGTGTGTTGTCACCAGCTCTGGGCAGGGAAACAAAGCGTTGTCCCATGAGTCAGGGAGACGTTCCAACTCACACTGTGACTGGGAAGATGTTGCTGGCCGCTGTGATGGTCATGCAAGTGCTGAACACCACCTGCTCGCAGTGTCCGTGCAGCACGCAGTCGTCTGAGTTCCAGGATACAGGCAGGGTGAAGGTGATGTTTATTTCTTCATGGGCTTCCCGACCTAAACACACAAACATGTGATTTTACAACGAATAACACATCATCAGTGGATTGACATGATTACACGAGGTCTTCAAATTCTAACTTTTCATTCCGAACGAGTTGTTAATTGTCAGCTTTATGTTTCTAAAAAACATGCACAGTTCATAAACATCCAACTTAATAATCCACATTGTTGTAATTGTTGATATGGGAACAATAATGATCAGACTCAAGCAACGTACAGGCCTCCAGAGAGGAGCCTCCTGCCTCTGAGGCAATAATTAGATCCTAAAACTGTCTTAACAGCTTGTACACAGTAATTCCCAAAGGTATGAAACCAGGCACAGTCACAGCAGCAATATTACCTGTCATATCAAGCTTCTCCCCTGATAATAACAAACAGACAGACTGTGGAGATTATAAGATTATGATTCAAACTGAGTGGACTCCTGAGTATTGACGTGTAGATCCAGGAGGACAAACATGGACGAGTTTCACGGTAGAAGTCATTCCTCTACTCACGAGTCAAACCTCTCTAGTTCCTCATCCTGGTTCAATCTAGGTCATTTTAAACCTCAAAACTTCATTAGCGGAGTATTAAAGTCATCTAGATGACAAAGTAGACGAGAGAACAGTAACTCCAGATGATCATTTATAAAGAAATCAGAGCGTTAACGTAAAATACAACCAGAATGTCACTCAGAGGAGCTCTTACCTGAACCTAACAATCCAGTCTAAAGTCAATCAAGCTGAAACTCATTTCACACACTCATGGATCTCAGTCCTCTTAATGTGCCTGATTGTTTTCATCAAGAATCAATAATTCCTATCTCACAACTTTTAAAGAAGCACCCCCCTTGGTGGAGGTAATAACACTGGCTCTTAACTGAAGTGTCCCAGTGAGAACTGAACATGTGACGTCCACAATAACAAGACCTTGAAAGTGACGCATATAAATGGAATTCCGTCATTGGTTGTTTTTATTATTTACCCCTGAGCCTTTCCCTTCTTGGAAAAGTCAACATGTCTGATGGGAATTTTATTTAAATTGTATTATTTAATTCTTATTTCTTTCATTACTTTATAAATGACATACACTCAAATTTAAATGCACTTCCTGTACAGTGTTTCAAACAGGACTATCTCCTCTAATATGTACAAAGCTCTTTACTGACTTTTCTCATCCATTCTACTTTCTGTTTTAATCCAAAACAAGTTACGAGCTTCAGGCAAATGTCCGAGACCTTTGGCACCGTGCAGTTAAAAAACAAGCAGGGGCCTAAAGCAAAGCAAAACCTGTCTTTGAAAGATCCAGCATGTAAAGTGTTATCGATTCATAACAACACCAACTTATCTTTTCGCCTCGGGAAGTTTTCAGAGTATAACAGAGTTCATCAAAACAGAGAAACTATTACTACTACCACAGAAAGGCAGAAAACTAAAACCACATATTGAGCCAATTGTGATACAATGAATATCAGTGGTTGGGTCTATAAATTATTTTACCTTAACAAAGAATTAAAACTCAGAATCAAGATTTCACTTTGCATCAGCCTTCTCGAACCTAAAAGTCTGAAACCTTTAAAGGTTCAGCGTGTAGAATTAAGTGACATCTAGTGGTGAAATTGCATGTTGCAGCTCAATACCCCTCAGCTCACCCTCCCCTTCCAAACATGACAGAGAACCTGTGGAAGCTCCAGTTGTCATAAAAACTCAAAGTATAGTTTGTAGAGTCTGAAAACGACACTTCATCCAATTTAGATGACACACATAAGTGAAAACATCACGAGGATTATTTTATATTCAATTTCAGCCGATGGATCCCTTTCGCCTAAATCTCACACACTGGACCTTTAAGTCCGAGACCTATAGCAGGGCTGAGTGGGACGTTAAAGTTACACAAGGCTGCTACTGTCTGTTCACTGTGGCTCTGTGCACACCTGACATTAACATGCATCACGGGTGAACGGATCACAAGTGGAAAGCTCCAAGTGCAGGTGTAAATGCAGTGCACCCAAGAATTTGAGGTTTGATAGGTCAGACCACTTTCAGTTCTTTTAGCTGTGTGTATGTGAATGTATCTGGGTCACACTGAAGGAGACCATAGTCAACTCTGTGAAAGAGGCAGCACATAGTCATAAGCTAGCTTTGTCCCTGATGTCTGACTATTACATATAAATATCTCACAAGCTGGAAAAACATCTTGAGCAATTTGGTTTTAGCGATTAAAAAAACAAAATCTACCCACCAGAGAGACCGACTTGCTGCCCCAGCACGGTGGCATACAGGTGGGTGATATTGCGTGAGTACCCTCCAAACGGGCGCTGCGGGTCCAGCGTGAGCGTGATGGGGACAGAGATGTTGATGGCGCCCGAGTCGTCCAGCAGGAGGGGGGTCTGGGTGCTGGATCGAGCTTGGCCGCTGGTCACCACCAAGCTCTCTGGTGTGGTGGACTCGTTCAGGCCATGCTTTATCGTTTCATTCTCCGAAACACAGACGTCCAGCTCATTGTAGCGCAGCAGAAAGGTGTTCCAGTCCTGATGCAGAGACAGTGGGATTTGATTGTTGGACACATTTACACCACGTAAGTAGCTGACGACATTTCAACCTACTTGCTATATCCAGTTGTTGAGTAACATATATGTATATGTAACAGATGCAACACTGGAATAATACAAAATGTCTGGACCCATTTTTCTGGACATTTTCTGGCGTTCGTGTCTGAAAGCATCTTATGATTTGCATATGCGTCTCGATCAAAAGAACATGCAAAGCTTTATTTCCATACATGCACCCTCTGTATGGGACATAGATGCAGACTACGTCCACACTGGAAAACAAATGAGCTGTGAAGCTTGCACAGCATTTCAAGAACTCCTAGATGCCCCAGGAGCTTTTTGCAGCATTACAGCCCCCAGCAGATGAGACTAGAACATGCTAAATAGGTCACAAACTAAATGCAGCATTTCCTTTTGGCAAATGCATCCTTGTGGCGTAAAAGGTCAGTCGTCGGTGACCACATTTTACTGGAGATAGTTAACGGAGTATACTATGTACTTTCAACTGTGCCGACGTGACTCACCTCTGTCAGCTCCGGGGACTTTATCTCTTTAATCTTGAAGAAATAACCGATGGTCAGGAAGGCGATGGCCAGCGCACTGACACTGATCATAAAAATTACCAGTGGCGGACGGTTGTTGATGTGGCTCCGTAGGTTCTCTATAGAATTCAACAGGTACACCTGCATCAGACAAACACACAATGGGTAAAACATTAGCACAACAATCTTGAGCATAACATGTGTTTCTAACAACAGGGCTAAGTACTAAACCTTAATGTTTTCATTATCTGTATCGATAATTAAGTCGCAGAAACCAAAAAATTACCAGAACAATCGATAAAGTTTGCGGTGTTAGGAATATCTAAATATTTTGAAATGCACATAAATAAATGGGCCAGAAAATGTTGGAAAAACTTGTGTCAGGCCTGAAAACTGTCGACTTCTAATCAGTTCACCGTTGAAATAAATAACTTTAATAGTGCAAAGTCAGTTCGGTTCCTCTGAATCTAGGTCAGAGTCTGTTGAGTAATATGCCAACAAAGAGTCAACAAAGAAAAAACTGTGTTGTGCATTTTGTGCATTGAGATTATTCAAACAAACTTTATAAATGAGAGTCTGGTGTGAGCTCCAAGGATAAAACACACATCCCTACACGGAGCTTCAGGATAAAACAGGGTCAGTTCAACTGCAGATGACAGTTTGACAACATATCCAGTCTTTTGCAGATATTATAACTTCCTTCCACTTGTCAACACAGTGTCTGTCTGTGCAGCGACAGAATATAATGAGACCCCAGTTGGTAAAAAACGACATTTACAACAGAGATAATTAAACTGCAGCGTCCTGCGACGTGAGGACGAGTTGGTGTCAACATATTGACTCCGGCGCTGTTCGGCTGTTTGGCTGTCAGCCACGGGCAGGTGACAGGGGCTGTCAGCCCTGTAGCATGCTAAGCTAGCTACCTGGCCCTCGGACAGTTCCGACAAGATGTGACAAACTGAAACTCTGACACTTCGCAGTAAAAACAGCAGATTGAATAGAACCGAACGTCGCGTGGTCACGTCTCACCATGTTTTCTTCCTGTGCACGTATCGGTCGCTAGCTGTGGAGATTTCGTTGCGGGCTAAAACAAGAGGTAGCTTAGCTTAGCTTAGCTTAGCTTAGCCTCGCTAGCCTGTGCCGCTAGCACGCTCGCGGTCCCGAAGCTAGTTCCTCCTGGATCCGCCGCCGAGGAGCAGGAGTTGGTGTCCGGAGGAGAGGTGCAGGCGTTCGGGGTTCAGACCACCGCGTACACCGCTGCCCATGCTTCGCTCCGGGGTTCTCTGGTGAGAAGCGTCTCCTGGACCCACGGTCACATCTGGATCCTCCCAGCTGACTGCCGCTCTGCCGCTCCGCCGCTCCGCGTCCCCGCGCACTGCGCACTGGACGCGTCGCTACGCCGTCCTCCGCCTATTCGCGTAGGGAGTTTACGCCCGAACGCCGACGTCCACGGGATTAGAAGACACTGACGTGTGCGTAGTGTGCGTAGTTTACGTAGACGACGCTCGCCGTGTTTACAAAGATTTTAAAGGCTCTTGATGCGTTAAGGTACCGTCGGAAATATGAAGTGCAAGGGGGGTTGCGCAACTGACAGGTTTGCTTGTTTCGTGTACTACTACCACCACTACTACTTCTACTTCTACTACTACTACTACAACTACTAATACTACTACAACTAGAACAACTACTACTTCTAATAATACTAGCAATAATGTTCTCTTGTTCTTGAAAAAAAGACTGTCTGATTAAATAAAGATTATTATCATGATTATTATTATTATCATTATGATAATTATTATTATTTGTAGCTCTATACCTTTTCACAAAGCATCATCATTATCAGTGTTTTTTGGAACATGAAGATCTGGGTTCACATTTTATTTCAAATGGATTTTTCTCAGTAAAACCCATTGTATAATAATATTATAGAACTGTATTATATCATATTATTATCTATAGGTTAAAATATTATGAATGCATATTTGTTCTAATGATTAAAATGCAAAAAGATGAAACCAATGGTTTTCAAACTTTTTATTTTTGTGGCTCTCATTGCAAACTGTTTACTGTGTTATTCTCTGCTTTATATTTGTACCTGTCTATCAGACAGAGAACATAAATAATAATATTAACTTTATTACTATAGCACCTTTCATACAGGAAATGCAGCTTAACATATAATATAGATAAAAGTAGAAAAATGTTAACACAAATAAAAATATGTTGACTGATAATAAAAATAAAAATTAAGAAAGAAAATCAGCAGCAAGAATCACATTTACCGTAGAGAGCACTTTGACACTTTGAGCTCAAGAGGCCGGTAATTCTTTTGATTAAAAAGTTTATGAATGCAGGACTTTTACCTGGACTGGAGATTTTTTACATGACTTTATTAGTACTTTTATTCATGTAAAGTTAAATACTTATCCCACCACTGCTAATTGACATAGAGGTAGGGGATGTTCTGTCTGTTTAAAGTATTTACTTAAAGGTTCAGTTTGTAAGATTCATGTGAAAAGCATCGAAATTGAATATAAAATAATCCAAGTGTTGTTTTCACTAATGTGTTTCATCTAAATTGTAGGAATTGTTCTTTTCTTTACGATAGAATTGTTCTTTCACATTTAAATACTTCATCATCAGGAGCGGGTCCGCCATGTTTTTTTTACAGTGGCCCAGACTGGACAAACCAAACATCCTTTGAGTTTCTATGACACCTGAAGGTTTTAAACAGTTTCTCTCTCGTGTCTGTAAGAGGAGGGTGAGGTGAGAGGTATTCAGCTGCTATATGACGCTCCACCACTAGATGTCACTAAACTCCACACACTGAAGCTTTAAGTGAGTCAGTCAGCTGCGTGCAGGGTGAGTGCTCCGGTCCAGCAGGTGGCGCAGAAGCATCCTGCTTCATGTTTAAAGGTCGAGCCTCAGTGATTCCTCTCACGCTTTGGCTTCTGTTCGTTCAGCTGCGTCAAGTTTCCCAGAGTGCAACACAGAAGCTGCGGAAATATCAAATTCATTCTTCAAAATAAAGCACAAATAACACTTCTGGAAGCCATAAAAGCTCATAACAGGCTTTAAAAACAGGGAATACTTCAGATATTCTTTACATGAGCTTTAACGTTAATTAATAACACTCCAATTGTTGTTTACGCTAGGGTTTTAGGCGGCATATCTTTTATTTTGAAGGCCGTGGCCGGAAACGCGTTGTTCTCTAAAACACGTGATCGCCTCCTCTTGACGTCCCTGGTTTGTTGTCTCACAACAATGGAGCAGAAGCGACGCGTTTAAACCTCGTTTCTAAACTTCCACCAGACACCGGAGGTAAATCTGCGCAGAGAGACGAACCACGCGTGAAACACGAAGCTCACACCCGCTGCTCGGCCCGTTAGCTAGCTGCGTTAGCATTCTGCAAGGGGGGGGGGGTACCAGGAGGGCAGAGCGGCTAATGCTAGTTAGCCGGACATCAAACTTCCCCGGGTCTCGTTTTGTTCCTGTTTAAACTCAAACTCCCGCACGTCGACGATCAAACCACACACGCACGTGTTTGATTTAAACTTTCATTCACTTTGAATCACGAGTTCACGGTTGAGGTGTTGAAGGAGACACGTGGACACTGTCCCGCAGTCTGTGTTAGCAGAGGGATGGAAGACGTGTTCTTACATTTCCAATGGTAGTTTCATGAAGTACTGTTTGTTGTATTCTGTATTTAACTGTGGTACTTCAACAACAGGCTTTGACCGAGATAAAATCATTTATTTCTCCTTATTACATATGAAATATAGACAAATATGAGAGAATGTGTTTGAACCATCGCACAGACAGAATGAATGTTGCACAGCTGTGAGAGTTATAAGGAATTCATATAATAGTAATAACACTTTATTTACATCGCTCTTATAGCAGACAGTTCAGTCCAAGGTGCTTTATTAAAAGAGAAAAGCAGAACATGCTAAATAACTAATCATGTTAAATGATAAAATATTCAATAAAGTGTTAAAACAATGTTATAGATTATGATCAGACTCGGTGCTCCTTCTCCATGAAACACAGGCTTCTACCAACATTCAAAAGCTTACACCACATAGTCTTTGTGTCACCTGTATTTATTTGGGAAATTATCGATCACAGAGAAAACACGAGAGGAAGAATAAACCTTTATGTATTCAGCACTTTTCATTTAAATTAAATGCTGCTCGTTGTGAAATGAACTAAAAGCAATATCCTAAAAACATCTTTAGATCTGTCGACAGCATTTGCATTTCTAATATGTTGAACAAAGTTGCTTCTACATTTCTGACATTAAGGTTGATCAGAAAACTAAAATCTAATCAATATATTGAAATTAAAATTTGTTATAAGGCAAAGTTGAGGCCGTTAGTGCAGCGTTCACCCTGTTCAAGCTGATAGCTGTGTTTCATATGTTATGGTAATAAAATGAATAATCTCTTCAACCCTTATGTCTCTTTGCCATTTTCAGGTTCATCGTCCAATCTGAATGCAGAGACGTCTCTTTTCCTTCGCTCCCAAGACTTTCTGTGCAGGTCTACAAAGTCTTCAAACACTTGGCAGACGTCAGAAACTCTTCAGAGTGTGCAGATCGTCTCCTGGGTCTTCATGCTCAGACCTTCGACCTCTACCTGTATATGTGTTTCATTTTCCCAAGAGAATCTGTTATTTTCCATTGCTCTCTCATAAAAACACCCTCCTCCACAACAATTTCCCGCGGCTTTCCCTGCGTCACCGCTTCTCTAACGAGCCGGATATGGCAGAGCAGAGGTTCATCGTGGAATACGCTAAACGTGGTACAGCGGGTTGTAAAAAATGCAAAGACAAAATCCAGAAGGGCATCGTGCGTATAGGGAAGGTTGTGCCCAACCCTTTCAGTGAGTCAGCAGGGGAGATGAAGGAGTGGTATCACGTCAAGTGCATATTTGAGAAGTTGGAAAGGGCGAGAGCCACCACGAAGAAGATCGAGGACATCACGGATTTGGAGGGGTGGGAGGAGCTGCAGGATGAAGACAAGGAGATCATCGATAAGCATGTTTCAGGTAAAATGACACAACATCGATATCCGCCGCCTGTTTAATCTGTATTGATCAGGATTGTATTGTTACTCTATCACGTAATATAATTCTACCTGGGCTGAGAACGGGGGTCCAACTGAAGATAACTTGCAGCATCTGTGCTGGGTTGGCTTTTAAATGTGTGTGTGTGTGTGTGTGCATCTTCAGGCTTCAGATTTGACCTCCTACACTCATTCAGTGTCTTTTAAGATTTGTGTGTAAGACACAGTGTCCTCGGTCAAAAGATTTGTTTTTGTTCTAAAGCCATATATCTCTTCTCGTAGACCTGATGTCCAAAGTCAATGCAACTCCAAAGAAGAAGGTGCAAGCCAAACTGAACCCCACCGCCCAGCTGATGGCTCCTCCTGCTGACCCATCTCTCAACGCTCCACGCAAGTTTTCAGGCTTCACGGGTAAGAATGGACGTCCAGGTGTAAGTATTAAGACACATAACTGGAGACAGAAACATCCAGAATGCAGACGTGCGTTGGTGCAGCTCAGTTAGGTTAAGATCTTTCTGTTGCCACGAGAGAAAGTTCTTTTCACAGCATGGCAGCAGAAAAACACATAAATAACAAACAGTCAAGACAACTGGAGACATCGGGGGGGCTGGTGCTCGGCACACAATACAAAACACAGCAAAAGGTTTATGTGATAAACCAAAAACAGCAACAATAAGAAGAAGGATGAGACGAAAACTCACTGGGTTACAGAGGCAGTTTTCTCTGTTAAATTAAAAGCAGCTATTGCACAAACTTGACCCAGTTGCACCTAATTTCTGCAAGTCTGTGTCTCTGAGCATCTGGTGTTAAAGTTAAAAACACTTTGATTTGAATGTTGCCCGGGAGGTTCAACTAGGACGAGTGGGCATAAATATGTGAACACAGCAGTTTGTTCATGTATCTTTGTTGTTTAGAATTTTTTTTTTGCATGAAGCCAAAAAGTTAAAACAAAGGTTGAAAATCTTTACAAACCAAAAAATTTCAAATTTAAAAGTGATAGATTGTGAAACTTTCTCTTAATGACCGTTAAAGTTGTTTAACGCAGAAGAATATCGATTTCTGTGTCTGATTCATGTTTCGCTGAATCTGTCTCATCACTTCAACTGTCTCACTTCAGCTACGAAGGCCGGCACCTCCAGCAGCGCAGGCCCGTCATCCTCTTCCCCCGCCAAAGCCAACCAAGGCAGCCCCCTGTCCACGCAGCTCTGCGACCCCCAGCACAGGGACTGCCTCTTCAGAGAGTTTCGTAAGCTTTGTGCAATGGTGGCAGAAAACAACAGCTACAACGTGAAGACACAAATCATTGCAAAGTATCTCAAGAAGGGCTCCGGTGGAGGTACGGAGAGTTTTTT